GTTGTGTGTGTGTGTGTGTGTGTGTGTGTGTGTTTGTTTTGTTGTGTGTGTAACGTATAAATATTACTATATATATATATATATATATATGTATTATTATTATTATTACTTTATATATATATTTATATTATTATTATTATTATTATTACTTTATATATATGTAATATACCTTTATATCTGTTGCCGGGTTTAGAGTGCAACCATACATTACGGGCACGCTATTTCAATGCAAACACACTTTTTTATATGCCTCCTTTGAATATGGGAAAACGTACGGGCCCACTCGCCATGACACCTATTCTTTCCACAGTGCGTACGTGGAAGTACAATATATTCACCATTGGCACTAGATCTTATATGCTACTCCGTGTCACTATGATCCTATTATAGAAAGAGGAGTACATGAATATCTGCATGCAACGAGAGCTTATGAAACCCGACTTTAAGCTGGTCCAAATGCTGAAGGAGGATATAGAGATGGGGTGCGAATATAGTGCGGATTGGTTCGATGGGTTAATCGTGAGTATAAAGCACTTGGATGTTGTCATAGCGAAGAAGAAGTTCAATAAAGTTATATGGGTGCTCACCAACGATGTGAACACACCGAATGGAATCGAGGACGACGAACTTGAGTCGGTATGTTGTATGCATAGTGGCTAGCATACCGACAGACGTATCCCAAGAGCTATAGCAAGTCTAACGATGTGATTTCTCGCGTCTGAAGTGTGAGGACTGCACATATTGACATACACTATCTGCTTTAAGCACCGCTCTAGTGAACTGATACATGGCAAGGATTGAGCTATGAGATCGTGCACATGAACAGAGGGAAGCTCTTTAGTCCCTGTGTGGTTGTATGCTCGTATGTGTATGAGCGTATTTTCGAATGGATATATACGTGACACTCATTTACATATTCACCTCCTGTGAGTGACCCCTTAGACTGTTCTAACCTGACACAAGTGTGTGCCGGCGTCGGCAGGTAGCTATTGTTCAAATGCCTGTATATACCAAATTGCACGGACTATGGTGGGATGCGCTCTTCCTGTACATGTGTTGTACTGAGGACTGCATACATGGTTTTAGCGGTTGGGGGTTGTGCGTATAAGGTTAGTCACAACACTCCTTTCTCGGTGCGAGTATATGCGTCATCAAACTCGCTACAACTCAAGGGGGGAAGAGTACAGTCGATCTACGCGAACAATGTATTTGCGCCACGTTGTCACCAGTCATCTCCGGACGAAGACTCATGTATGGGTGTGTCCGAATACAAGACAAGTTATCTCAAAGTCGCTACCTTATCTCTCCACACGCTCACAGGTCATGAATAAGATCAAAGACGCCGACATGCGGGTGAACTTTGTTGGCCTCAAAGTAGACGAGGACGATAATGGTGACTATGTGCCCATAGAAGGCGATGGTGAAACCGAGGACGAATTGCGGGCTATGGAACAAGTGTGTAGGATTGCCAATGCCAGCCATGGAGTCATCATGGAGTTCCCGTGTATGTGTTGTGCTAACAATCTAGTGAGTGAGTACATAGCGTCTTATAGCGTACGATATAGTCCATATATAGATATGAACCGAGTTCACCTATCAGGGAATTACTGAACGTGTTGTGTGACTGTATCAAATATGGGTAGTGGCTATAGGCACCTCTCTTCTGGATGCCATGCTGTGGTTCTTTTGTGTGGATGCATGATCTCTCGCTGTGTGCGATGCACTCTGCATTAGATTTAAATGTGATTGTGTTTTGTTGCCAAAGTCATTGGTGGCAAGATCATGTAGGTTCAGAAATATAGGCGGTGCTTATGAACAATTTTATATTTTGACCTATGCTCTCTGTGTATAGCGAATTGAAATCTGATGGTGTTACGTTGGGAACTGTTATCGGAACAGTTCATTTTGGGTATGAGAAGTGACTGCTGCATATTCTATCTGTAGGGGCATTCGATAAGTTACGCGAGGAAGGCTACAAGCGCACAAAGTCCAATCCCATATTCAAAGGCAAGTTGGATATCGGCAATGACTTTGCTCTGCCAGTACAAATGCTATCAAGGGTCAAGGAAACATTGGTATGTAAGCCGTTCTCAACTATATATGCAACTGCACGATTGTCCATGCTGAGCCATGTGAAAACTACGGTTCAACAGACATGTGTTGGTTTTGGATGTTACTTTTAGATGTGCGTTTGTGTTGAGAGTTGCCGCCGCTGCAACAAGTACCAGTGCATACCAGTGATCCTACCTACTTCCCGACTTCAGAAACCCTCCTACAAGCAGTCAAGTGTCTATAAACCGGAGCCCACCTCCAATGGCACACTGAAACTGGAGTTGGATTCCGGTGACATGCCTATGGCATCCTCGCTCAATGAGGTGAAGAGAACTACTGAGTACACGGACGTTGATGGGAAGAAAATAGACAAAACCAGATTGCAAACGTCGTACAGGTGTGTGTGTTACGTGTGACAAAGTAAACTATATTGCAATCGAAAACTCTCAGGTGTGTAGCGTCATTGATTGGGTAGCCTATGATACACGTGTGAGTATACTCTATCAGGTATGTAACGTTTACAGATAGGCCGTCCGGTGTTGGGTGTGGAGACTGGTGCATTGTGTCGACCGAAATAGAACTTATAATTGGTGTCTCCAGTTGTTGTTGTTTGAAAGTTGCTGAGCTGCTTTCTGAGAAGTACCGGCGTCTGTTTGTGGTCCATGCTGGTGCAGTTGCCAATGGTGTGCTCGGCTGCTAAACATTCTCGATGAGAAAAAAAGCAAACTACCGCGTTTACAGATTGGGAGATTCTTGTCATACATATGCAGTGGTCAAAACTGAAATTGTACGCACCAACGTACCCGCATTTGCAATAGTTGACACATTTGACATATGGTACCCGCATTTGCAATAGTTGACATATTTGATATATGGTACATAGAATGGCATGGTATTGGCATGAAAGTAGTTTCTCAATGGAGATGAATGATACAAAGTGCGATACGGCTCGCACAAGCCTGTGATGGTGATTTAGCTGGCTGTACACAAGACACGCACCTTTCTATGAAGGGCATACTGGTCTACTATATATTGCAATACGTCCCGCTGAATATTGTCACACTATACTTTGATCGAAACCTAACTGTTACCACGCTATATAGTTGGCCTGGACTCGTTTCGTTTGCCTTTGCCGGCCAGGAGCAAATCATTCATACGCATCCGCAATCATCTTCTTGACTCCGCCGGATATTTCTCTGTGTAGGTACGGAGCCGAGACTGTGCACGTGCCCGACTACAGTGATCCGCTCATACAGTACAAGACGGAGCAGAGCATGAAGTTGATTTGCTTCACGCCGAAGAACAACATACCTCCAAGCCTCCTAATGGGGGACACGTATGAACTGCAGCCCCCGCAGGGAGACGTGGATGCGTACAGAGCCCTCACAGCGATGATCCGGGGAACTGAGCAGGTAGACTTTATTAAGCCTGGTTGATATGTTGTCCGATTTTTGAGCGCCTGTATAAGTTATCGTATGATCAAAGCGTAAGGATGTCAAGTAAGTATTGCATACAGTGTTGGAGGCGAGGGATGAAGTGTGGTTCCCGTGCACTGATGATGATGTGTGGATTAATGTCGTACGGCTGTCACTCAGACGAAGCCCAGTGTAGCCGAACCCACATAAACGTAGCAGCCGTTTAAGTGTGTGTGCGGTTGCCGACTAAGAGGCTCGGTCAAATCTGCGGACAACTGTAATTTGACAATTGAAGATGTTTACATTTAGTGTCCAAATGGGACACATCCTCAATGTATAACCGTTTTCGTTCCTCCTGAATAGGATGTGACTCTGACTCTGGCCATCTCTGCCTATATTACGGGCAATGGTCCAACAACCTCCACCGAGAATAGTTCAATAGATTGATAACTAATACCACGGCCACCCCATCCATCCACTACCTGAATACAGGCAGGGAAGGTGGGTATTGTACGCACGGTCATGAAAGACAACAAAGACGTTGCGTTGGGTGTACTGAGGCCGCATGTGCGTGAGACGTATGCTACGTTCCTGTACAATCGCTTGCCTTTTGCCGATGACATGCGTCAGTTCAACCTACCCAGTCTCCAGAACACCAAGACACCCCCGACACGCGACCAGGTCAGTATCGGTCCCGTTATTTGTCAGTATGGCTCTGTTTGGATCAAGGGTGGGTCCGTATGAACTCCTTCGTGGTTGTAGGCTACTTTTTTCGCTCCATTTGATGCACAAAACAGAACTGTAATTATAAATAAGGGTGAAGGGTTTGTTAGGTTGTGAGGATGCATCTACAGTGTTCTGTATCCGTCAACTACCTCGGTGAGTGTAGTTCAAGAACAATCAGAACAGCAGCTGACCGTGTGGCACAGATGTGAGTTGAGGACAGCTCTACAGTGATTTTCTGATGTGCGACGCCTAGGACAAACCAATACCTTACCACACCCCCGACAAGGTGTACACACTTAGCTTTTGCTGATTCAATACATCCTTAGGCGGAGACCATCGACAACCTGATTGATTCCATGGATTTGATGGAGGCCGATAGAGACCTGGACGGCGATCCACGGGAAGCCTATCAGAGCAAGAACACGCTCAACCCAGCCCTACAATACTACCATAGCGTTGTATTCGAAACCAAGGCCGATAATTTGGCTCGTATGGCTCCGTTGGAGTCGTTTCTGGAGCCTGTCAGTAGAAAAATCGATGATAGAAGCGCAGACGAGAGAGTGGGAAGGCTCATTGCGGACAATTTCGAGCTCAAGGCCGCAGGTGCACTTTTGTTGGTTGTATAGATATGAGTGAAATGGGTTCCGCTCACTGACCTCCGGGCAATGGACCTTATCGATGGATCCGTTTTAACAAGTGGAATGTGCATGGCTCATCAATTGTGTTGTGACTATCAGTCGTGCGTCTGTTGTGGGCAAATCATGTCATAGGCTGTGCTTTATACTGTGTATATCATTCCAATGCACTGACTGCTGGATTTGGGCCCCACCTAATTGACAGTGCAGGTGCTTATTCCTATGTGATAGGCGGCTACATTTCTGCAATATCGATCGTGAGCAAATCTTGTGCTGTGTTTGTACACCTAATACCTTGCTGAGTCAACCTCAGCGCAGGTCGGTGCGACTGACCCGCGCTTGAGGAGTATAGTTGTCGCCGCGACTGATGAACTAGACCATAGGGCGTGTTATATCACTCGCCTCGAAACTCATTCATTTCAGTGTGCGACAGACGCTCAGACTGAGCAAGCAGTGTCCAACTGTGTGAGTGTGACTGTCATTGCGTATTCAGTTTCGCGCACGACAGCTCACGGCCACAAGTCCAATGACACGAACATGATTTTTATATCACGTATTCCTAGAGGACTGTACACCATAGCCTTCTCAACAGGCACTGCACACCTCGGAATCGTGGCATATGAGCGTGCTTATAGTGGCAGCTGTGTGCACCCCCGCCCAATGGTCCTCAACTCATCACCATATCCATTGTGCTGAAGCTGTACGATACATTCACCTCACTTGTGGCTCGCAAACTGTGCGACTCGCCAGTGCATGCGCAGTACCTGAGTGCATTCTGTGCGCATGTTCCTGGAGGTGGCGGTGTACTTGACTGGTCTATTATTGATTTCCCGCTGCAGAAAAGTCGAAGAGTCGGGTACGCTCGTCCTTCAATGCGTTTAAGAAAACTCCCATTGACGCTGCCGAGGAAGACGCCCTGGAGAATGGCCCAGACATCCCAATGGGAGCTGATACGGAGTCCTCCATACTTGTATGCGCATTTTGCTGAGTCATGCTCTGAAACATTTGTAGTTGTCACGTGTTTGTATTCATTAATAGTGATTTATTTGCGCTTCCAGTGTGCGACGCCTGGCTAAGTATTGTATTAATTAGCTGACATATCCACTTCGTTTAAGTTTTTGTATACTGCGCTGCGGATGAACTACCCTCGTATGTTGTTGTGTCCATTTCCAGGCGATGTGGGTCGTACTCTGCGGGTTGTTCGTTACTTTTGGTGTGTGAAATGTACCGTATACCTTTATCACACAGATCTTTGGCAAGTAATTCGACTGCATAAACAATTTGATACCTGATTGGTGAACAAAACACACACGAACACTGTAAGAGGTGTACTTGGAATGTGCTCAGCATGCGTGCCAAATAAGGGCGCGTATGGCCCAGGCAGAAGCTCATGTCTTCTATCCTTCGCGCTGCTGCTTTCCCAGAGAATAGCTGGCGACCGCGTGACACAGGTTGGAACCATCTCACCGGTAAGCGATTTTAAGATGATGATGACACAGACCGAGGATCTCAAACTCCGCGATGCAGGTATGAGCGCAGTCGCATGTTACGAGTCAACTACCAGGTAGTTTACATACTTAGTGTGGGGCACTTTATGCACAGGGGTATTTTAATTGTGTTGGGTGGGTTGGAATGTGTGTTTACTGCATCAAGGCTTTCTATGCATACGTGAGGTACATATATCCCCATAAGGTTAGTTGTATGTTATAGCTACATATGTGATGCCACAGATTGTACGTACGTCTTGCGTTTAGTGTGTGTGTGTGTGTGTGTGTGTGTGTGTGTGTGTGTTTGTGTGTGTGTGAGCAATTGATTTTCAGTTAGTAATCACAATTCGGGATCACGACTCCATCCCTGCACAGCCCTTGTTCAGATCAAGGAAGTCATTCAAGACTTGGTGGCTCGATCGATGGGTGAAGAGCACTTGGTGGTGCCGCTCGATTGCGTTCGCACTTTACGAGAGACCTGCGTGAAGGTGTGTGTGTACAAGTACGAGTACACGCTGCGTTGGAACTAGTACGCAAGTAAACGTAGCACTGTGTTAAGGTTAATACAAATGCACGAGGCTGGAGTCGCTTTGTAAACCTGACTTGTGCCTGGTCAACATACAATGTGTCTCTGCTGCAAGGTTTTTGTTCCTAAAATACGTTGTAAATGCTCCAACCTGAAAGAAAGGTTCGCTTTCAAGCAAGGGTTTTAACTTCTATGACAGAGTCCACAGGCGTAGAATGCCAATCATGCACGTAACGAATACCGGGGATTGATATAGGACTTCAAATACATATACACACCAGAATGTCGACGCAGCTAGCTTCAACGATTGGATCAAGGAGTATAAGGATGAAATTGACGACCCCCAATCCCATGGTGAGAATCTTGATTGCACATGTGTAGCACTGAGGGCACTGATATCGCTGCGATGTATAAGCTGTTCGGTACACAATGTACTGTGCATGCAACTGCTGCAAGACTGTTCACACCAGCTGGCTGCCTGGCGCAGAGGCAGAGGCGTATGATCCCATTCACTAGCAGATGCATAGTGTGAGCTTTTATGATCCTCGCTAAGTGTTGTAGTCTTTAAACGTGACGAGTTTTTTGGGGCTTTGTTTTTCCGTCACTGGCACTGGAGTGGATAAAGGCATTGTGCGTGCGACTCTCGATACCTACTGCACCGCAGGCTATAGCCCAGTTAGAAGTACGCGAATATAAGGCATACTACAGTACTCGTTGAATGGGCTATAGTGCTATATAACAGACTGACTGGTGCCAGGACATAGGGTATTAATGTGGAAGTCGCAGAGACCAGCACATTTCGCCTTTTCCTCTTAGGTTAATTCCTATCAACAGGTAACTCGATCAGGCTTTTCAGTGAGTACAACATCGCTTGAAATCCGTTACAATTGGCCTGTGACGATATGACTATAGCTGCCTATCTGTTTAATATCACGCCGTTAAACGTGCTATCAGCACTCCTGGTGTTTCACTAACTATCACGACGAAATGCATGCTCAAACAGGCTATTCCTTTTGGCACCTGCTCGTCGAGAATAGGCTCTCTCTCATCACCCAGGATGAAACCAACAACACAGCAGATCCAAGCGCGATAGAAGCAGATAAGGTACTGCCACAAACATGCTATTTCATAAGTGTACGTGTCGATGTATGTGCCACAGTCAGTTGCACATCGTCGCCTTCGCTTGTGGGTGTTTGCCTTGCCCTGGTGTGAAATGTTTAGGGTTACATCGTTTCAAGCTCTTCGCTGCTAGCTATCTCGCTGTGACTGTATCTGCACCATCACAACTAGAGCCACGTGTAACCTGTACATCTTCTAGGCGATGTCTCCTCCTCCTGTCATATCCGCATAGCTTTGCCTCGATATGACACTACACTGACTCCCGTGCGATCTCTCCCGCCGCACAACATGCACTCAAAAGCACGCAAGGGGTTCCCTGCCCAATCCCTGACTATATTAGTGCGAGTTGACCCCACCAATGTGTAGACTATTATGCTGAGTAGCATAGCTAGCACAGGGTCGTTGACAAATGCGATGTAGCTTTTCGACTGTACTAAGCTATTGTGTTATGGTATGGTGGATGGCTGTGATGGTTGCAAAATGACTATTATGCTGAGTAGCATAGCTAGCACAGGGCCGTTGACAAATGAGATGTGGCTTTTCGACTGTACTAAGCTAATGTGTTATGGTATGGCGGATGGCTGTGATGGTTGCAAAATACGAATAATGTGAGTGGCGGTGAGGTCTCGTAGTAGAAGCAGCATTAGGCGCGGCTCCTACTATTTGAGGTAATTGTAATCAGGGACAAACGAGGATATATACCTGTATGTTAACAATTGAGTTATAATTACTTGTGTTAACACTTGAATTACATACACTTATGTTAACACCTGAGTTACATACACTTATGTTATCACTCGAGTTACATACACTTATGTCAACACTCGAGTTACATACACTTATATTAACACTCGAGTGCCGATTTGTCTTGTAGCCCGTTGGAGCTGCCACATTCAAATCACTCAATTCTTTCCTCCATTGTGTTCGGTGATCGTATAGTTCTTGGGTGCTAAAACAGTCAAAGAGGTCGCACCAGCCGAGCAAGACAGTGATCTGGACGACATGGTAAGCAAGCGTATTCTTTCATATCGTACTCGTATGGATTGCCAGCCCCTAAAGTATACTGTTGTAGTACGCGCTGAGTGCAAAGACTGTGCGCGCTTCTCAACATTGGGACTGTATTTGCGTGTTGCAGTCCGATTGAACATATTGGGGACGCCAAGTATTGCTATTTTCTGTGTTGGGTCTTGTTATGGCGTATCGCTACCTTGATCGCGACCATGCTGTGGTCGCCTAATTTTTAAAAAAGGTTCAAACAAGAAAGCAGGGTATTTGCCACAGATATAGTAGGGATATAAATATATATATATAAGTGTCTTGCCGCTTGATAAGGTCACATACGGTGACACGAGAAGCACTGCACATATGCACACTTGATACAGTGGGATGATTCATGCGTATTTTCACACTTACTGCAGATGGATGACTTTGAGTGATCTCTGGAGAGGGCTCGGAGGCATTGCTCGACAACACCTACGAGAGTGATCAACCGTGGGCTGTCGATTGACCTGCACGCCGCACTCCGCGCGCAGTTGGCTCCGCAAGACGGGCGTGTAAAGTGTGTACGAATCTTTTCATTGGTGAAGGTGCGTTCGCAGTACTCAGTGAGTGCATTGAGGACAGTCCACTGACTGTTCCAGATGCCCCGCAGGACACTTTGATAGGGGTGGTGGATCGTCCGAGGACGTTTCAGTAGCCCACTCGGACCAGCTAGCTTCCGGATCACTACATGCAACGTACATGAGAGATTAGTCCCACATACAGTCCTCCATGGGTACGCCAGAGTCAGCTGAACTACTATACCAGCAACAATGGCACTCACTGTCGTAGTGCGTGAGACATGTATCTAGTTTGTCCTTGAGTTTCGGTCCCCAATTAAAACTCGACACGTGCTCCGGTAACCGATGGAATCCGGTTTAAAGTGCCAGTAGTAGCCTGCGGGCGCAACCCATTTCTCCTCGAGATCATCATCCCATCCCCAACTTACTGTTTGCTGTCAACAACTGACTATACTGTATACAGGGCCCAGCTCGCACTACTATCGCCTACGCCCGTGTCCCGATGGCCTTACTTGCCTCTCTCGCGCCTACTAAATTATCGACATCGATAGTCATCAATTGTCAATCAGAAAATACGTATCTAAAACGTACGGCAGACAAACCGTCGGCATCCTCTATGCAGAGCACGCTACAAGTCATTCTTCGTGATCGATATGCGGTGCTGTATTGGCTTCACGTTCTGTACTAGGTAGAGCAGGTATCTGAATTTAATAAGTTCTGGTGGTATGCATAGCTAAGAAAAATACGAAATGTAGATGGATTTAATTAAGTTCTGGTGGTATGTTTAACCAAGGAAAATGCGAGATGTGGTTGGATTTCATATATGTATATTAATTTATACATATCTTTATAGATAGAATAATAAAATATAAAACATAATACCTATCAAAAATATATCACATTCTGGTGGTATGTATAATCAAACATAATACGAGGGGTTCTTGGATTAAATTAAGTTTTGATGGTATGTATAGCCAAGGAAAATACGAGATGTAATTGGATTGAATTGAGTTCTGCTGGTATATAAAACTAAATAAATTACGAGATGAAGTTGGATTAAATTAGGTTCTGGTGGTATGCATAACTAAGGAAAATGCGAGATGCCCGGAAGTTCAGCGTGACTATGATATCCGGAAAGCAGCACTCGATGGCCTTGGTATAGTTGGTGCATGTCGGCAATAAAAAAGGTTAGTTCAGGCACAGTTTGGAAGCGCGAGAGCGTACTGTGCAATAAAATTAACAGATCCCGTTCACTCGCGGCAATTTGTTCTGAAATAGCAATTCTTAGAATTTAATCTGAAAGCCCTTGTCAAAGAAATCGGCAACACTCAAGAATCTTTTTTTTCTATTTTTATCAGTGCCAACGTTCTTGTCTGCATCATCTCTTTAGCATCCGGTGATTGCTACATGATCAAATACTTTTTATAAATCCTAAACTTCGTACTCTGAAGAATGACTTCAAGATCTTCCTCGCAGAGTTCACAACCATTCAGTCAAGCAAATCATAGCCAATTGCACGCGGTCAGTTTGCGCGCATGCAGCTACTTTCGTACAGAGTTGTCACGACCGGTGTAAAGGAACTTTTCAACTATATATATATATATATATATATTATATATATATATATATATATATATATATATATATATATATATATATATATATATATTATATATATATATATATATATATATATATATATATATATATATATATATATATATATATATATATATATATATATATATATATATATATATATAT